GTGCGAGTCGTCACCAAAGTAAGTTTCTCCTTTTTTTTTGGTACTCGAATTATTATTGTCAAATGACTAGTCTTTTAATGTTGAAATGTTGTCATGCTACGAAACCAATATTGTCTATAAGTCTTCCTAAATTTTGTTTGTAACACGACTACGTAGCTGACGTTGTATCTTAGCTTTTTGTATGTAATTATCGTTTCAGTTCGAACCTACACGACTCTATTCGACACTAAACTACCCTATATTTCTACTCTACTTCGTTTTATTCTCCGCGACCACGAACTTTGCTACCGTGACTTTCACGATCTGTCATCATCGTCGCAACCAGTGTAATTCGTCTATCTTGAACTGTGATTAAACGTGTGTTAGTCATTCTACGAGTTGAGTTCGAATTGTCTATCGCCTCGCGCATTGCTACCCCTGTAATTGTTGAGTTTCTAAGTACGCGCAACCTTAGGATCTTGGCAGTCACATATAACACAAGCGGAATTTTTGCTCTTTGCTTAAAGGTTCCCTCGCCAAAATATATTTTTACATGTCAAAAAGATTTTCGGATCGTCCCTTATCGGCTTCCGTAATCCGTATGGAGGGGTATATGTAATCGACGGTAGAATAATTAACAATCGATAAATGACGTTTTGCGGTAGCGATTTCTAGTCGGCACAAACGAACAGTGGCAACACTGGCGTTATAATTGTTTAAATTTCCGTGCAAATGGCTCCCTATAATATGGAGATACAATAAAAATAAATAACCGTTGGGCTTCTCTTTTCTGACTGCAGGTAGTTTGATAGTCAAGCGTGGGGAATTTATTGAAATCAACACAACTGCTCCGTCCATTAACTGCAGTTCAAATGCTAATTACAACTCAACACTTCAGAATAGAAGCTCTACGGCACATGGCAGCCATCGTTTTGCTCACATAGAGTTCGGTGGTAACATAGAGTTCAGGAACGGGTCTACAGTTAAAGTGTTCGGGAAGTATGCTCTGAGTATTACAAGTCAGAATGGAAACATCTCAATACACACCGATGTGAACATGACTTGTGGAGAGAAAGTGTTTGATACAACATGTCTTGGTGGATTTACACAGAATTCTACAGGAGAGGAAGTCGGACCTTCTGGCAAAAAAACAAAATTTTATCAAGGTGAGAAACATTTTGAATGCCTTGTTGTTTTTCTCTGAGAGTAGGCAATTATTATATAAAGGGTAGAAGAGTTTAAATTGCCTCAGTACTTATCCCTGAAAATAAACAAGGTCGGAAAACAACCTGCTCCCATGTAATAGATTTAAGTGGTCCGTCCGAAATGTTCCATTACTTTTTATTTATTTATTTATTTATTTATTTATAGTAACTTCCATTTAATGACAAAGAATAATGATAAAAGGACTAAAAAAAAGGTACTAAATGAGGGACTAACGTACGGACTCGAAGTCCCAGCGAGGTCAGCCCCCATAAGTATGTACTATACTAAAACATATGTAAAGAGAAACAATAATCAACAACGGTTCTTTCTATTAATTGAGCGAGAATGTGGGCAGACTGTTTTCCATGTTTGAACTCTAGATGAGTCAAAATTAGCGAAAAATTTGTTAAAGAAATAGTTAAATAGACGGTCTTTAAAGGTAGAAAGAGCTATAGCTTCACGAATATCTAACGGAATATTGCTCCATAGGGAAACAATGCGATTAAAAATGAATCACGAAATAAGGAAGTACGAACACGATTTGGTCGCAAATTAAAGCTGTTGGCATTCCTAGTACGGCCAGTGATCAAGTTGATATATTCATTGACATTAATATTGTAGTACTTATGCATACACTTGTAGAAGAAGCAGATGTCTCAAAGTTCGTGCCAATAACATAATGGTAACAGTTTCAGCATTTTAAGCGAGACTTATAGTCATGTCTTTCAAAATGAAACGAGTTTCCCGACGTTGAACACCCTCTAGAATACGTAAATGATGGACAGTAGATTGAGGAGCCCAGACCTCGCTAGCATAGCCTAAGTAGGAACGCACAAAAGAAAGATATAGCGTTCTTCTGCTATCAGTCCCAATACCTCCCGCACAACAGTCCAGCGCTCTATCCATTGAGCTAACCGGGAGGCGGTTAACCTTTCACTAAGGCATTACGAACGTCATCTTGATCCCAGATGATTTCACTGATATTGATGAGCGAGTATGGTGTGGTGTCGATATCTGTAGGAAGGACTGTACCTGTTTTGAAGACAGAGGCGAAATAATGATTGAACGCTTCAGCCTTAGTACAAGGTGTGGTAAATACTTTGTCGTCGATGGTGACTGAATCAGGAATGGAAGGGCGATTGGTCAGTCGGTTAAAAAAGTTCCAAAATCATTTGGGCTGAGAAGATGAGTTTTCAGATATAACCTTCATGTATGCCGTCCTCCGTTAGAGCGTATCAGATATTTGACATCTCTACGTAATTGACGGTACTTTTGCCAAAGCCCATCACTATTCTTGCGGAGAGCTTTCTTCCCTGTGAAGTTTTTTTTGCGAATGGCGTGGATTGTCTCCCCATCAATCCAAGGTGGAGAGAGGAATTTTTTCGGTTTCCGCTTAGGAATGAAGGTGTCGACATTGGCTGACTGTGCATTTTTCCAATAACACCAGATTGAATTTATGTCTGTGATTTGATCTTCGCTAAATTCAACAGGTAGAGGAGATTCGCGTAACTTAGAGCGTAAAGCATTCAAGTCAGCTTTTTTGAAGTTATAGGAAGGCTGTTTATTATAGGACAAGAATTTATAACGTATGCAGGTCGAACGTTAGCGCTTTGTGATCAGAAGATATAGCAACACCATCAGAGTCAGATATTTGTACATTAGCCACTCCCTCGACTAAAGAAGACTTTAGCAAATCAAGTGTATTGTTCCCTCTGGTTGGCTGATCAATCAACTGGAAAATATTTTTGTCGATTAGCTTCTCACAGAACACAGACAAAGTTGGGCTAGAAGCGACAAAACCAGAGCCTTGAATCCATTCCATGTCAGGAAGGTTGAAATCGCCAACAATTATAACTTTTTCGTACACACAGCTATCAATAAAATCGATAAATTGATAAATCCAAGAGTTGTTTGCATTAGGAGGACGATAAAAGACTGATATAAGAGTTTTACCACAGTTGTTATTGACGAACTCTATCGCGGCATATTCCAGATCATTTTCCAAATCAAAGAATACGGATTGACAGCGAAGGTTGCAGCGAGATGCGAGAAGCACTCTACCACCGTTAGTTGAACGAATGCCTTGTATATCAGCTCTATCACAGCGATGGATATCTTGACCTTTATGGACGAAACGTTTTGATACAGATCCCCTGAAAAAGCGTGGTTAATGACCCAATCTGAACTTAAAGCAGGTAAACTCCAGATTATATTAACGATCTTCAGTCTATCAAAACCGAATCCAACCATTCTCTTCGTTCGTCCTCACAGTTTCTTCTGTCAGTTCCCAGAGTCAACTACTCTACATTTGGGGGTCGCGCTTTCACCCACGCTGCACCGGTTTTATGGAACTCATTACCGCTGACTATTAGATCTAGTAGCAGTATTTCTGTGTTTAAAAAGAAGGCTGAAGACTTTTCTTTTTAAAAAGGCTTTTAATTTGTGACTTTTGGTCTATTTGATATATATCCTTATTGTATAGCGCTTTTGAATATTGACCAATAGTTAAAGCGCTCTATAAATATATTATTATTAAAATATATTATTATAAACGCGTTTTAGTTTCTGGACTATTAGCAAGACGATGTTTTAAAGTTCTAGTCAAAGCTTTTTCAAAATTATCGGACGTGTTTGAAAGTAAGCAGTCCGATATGCGCACAGTTTACGCGGTCATACACTCAGCAATTGGACGAACGTAAATCGCCACTCAATGATACCCTCAACATTCTTATGATAAAAAATTTAATTTTTTTCGTAAATTTAATATTTTGGACGCTAACACAGCTTAATAAGAGGACACAACCGGAGAAAATTTGAATTTTGTCGATCCGTTTAAAAACATTCAGTGAAAACACTATTGGCAGATTTGTAACGCATCCTCAGTAGACCACCCATAACATTATTATTTTTCAGATTCTGTGGGATCACATCAGTTGCCGAGATCACAAAATTTCGCTAGGGCTAATGCAGCAGCTCATATCAATTAAATTCCTAACACAAGCAAGTTTAAATCAGTCTCCAGGGCCAACGGATGTAAACAGCCGGTGGTTTCTGCCGGCAGCAGTATTTCTGGTTGCCAGATTCTTCAACTTTCTTGTAAAGTTCACCCAGAAATCTCCTAAAAAGATTAAATTTGTGGTCCAAAGCGAACTCCTTAATTAACTCGACCGTTCGTTTATAATC